CACCTAAATGTGACAGAGGTGTCTTAACTGCCTGTAGTGTGTGCATTCGCCCGCGGCTAAGTAATTTCGAAAGGTAGGCCGTGGACACCTCATATGTCAATGACTCATCCACTTTACATAAAGATTCACACTCTAACTGCAGGTTCGAAATTACAACACTTTATGTCTTGATGAATAATGACTGTTTAAAGAATAATGTGAAAGTCATAAGACCTTCAATGTCACAGGTTCACACAGTGTTTTTTTTCCAGACTTTTTTCTCCTTGAAGAGGTGGGGGGGGGGGGTTGGGCGGACTTTGGTAATATATAATTTCTATATAAATTATATTTTGTTCCCCAAGAGATGCCTCAAAGAAAAAGTATTGTGGTAATATCTAGATTCAGCGTCTATACACATAATAAAATGGCGTCATTAATTGTTGAATAAAAAATAGAATAAAAAATTGAATGCCAAAAACCATAAACAATAATAATGACGTCAATGCCTATAGAGAAAAAAACGCCTAATTTAAGTGTCTAATTTTTAGAAGGTACTAGACTACCCGTCATACGTTGGATAACTGGGTTTCGGGGGTCATCCATCAAAAAACATCACGTCTGTCACTCAGAGGCATAGCAACCCTTCCCGGCGCCCGGGGACAAACTTTCCGATTTGAACCCCCCCCCCCCCCCGCAGGATTTCGATTTGCAACCCCCCCCCCCCCTCAAACTTTCGATTTGCACCCCCATTAACCTTTCAATTTATTTTTCTAACCCATTTTGGCGCCCCCTAAGGTCGGCGCCCGGGGACATATGTGTGTCCCCCCCCTCGCTACACTACTGCAGTGTCACTTATCGTCACAAAAAAACAGACCCCACATTCAAAAATATGTTTTTTTATCTTTTAAAAACACCGAAAACAACGATTTCGGACTATCCCTTCATATACTGACGTCACAGGTGACCTACTCAACTCTACTTCACCTGCCCAGTGTCCCGCCAAGTCTCAGACAACATGTTTTTATTGTTTAAAAAACGATTCCAGCCGAGCATGTCTCTGACCACACTATCCCTTCATATGCTTAGGACAAAGAAACAGATGAACTCTACTTCACCTGCCCTGTATCACGCCAAGTTCAGATAGGCAACTTTATCATAAGGTTAGGGTTATCACGGTTTTATTTCAGGTCAAATTTCCAGTTCATGCTAAAATGCCGGTTCCGAATAAAGTTTCGTTTAAAGTTAAATTTTAGGTTGCGGTTAAATTTCCGATTGAATCAAATTTCTCTCTCCGGATAAAGATCCGTTTAAAGTTAAATATTGTTACCGGTTAAAATGTCCTTTCCGTTGCGTTTTTTAAATTTCGCTTTAGTTTATCGTTTCCGGTTAAGGGTCTTGATTAAGTTAAATTGCCAGTTCTGAAAAAGAAACTGTCTTTTGGGAAGGTCTATGACATTAAAATTTTATTTCCCAAGCCGGCGCCCCGGCAGTAAGGTGGTGCGGTTTGCACTTGGGGTCCGTTGATTGGATGTCCAGCCCTACCGGGCAGCGCCACTTTTTGATTCTGAGGTCAAATTGCACAGGCGCTTCTGCCGGTGCGCCCCATGAAAACTATATTCGTTTTAATGAGCGCCATAAACTAGGCATACGGAGGGTTACTTAAATCGATTACCAAATCGAATACGGAGTGTCCTCCAGCGCAAATGCAGTATGCATACCGCGGTTGGGTGCACCAGCGGCTACCTATGTGCAAGGGATCCGTTGATTGCGCGTTATGAAGAGTCAGGGGCATTACTTACTCAACGATTAAACTGCAACAGGGGAGGTTTTAGACGCCCCCGGCATACAAAAACAGCAATCACAAGAGTGGGCCTCTACGTTCAATGATTAAACCGAACCAGGGGTTGCATCCGCTACCTACGCTAGTGTAACCAGTAACTCCCGCAACGCTCCTGACACTCCGGCGGTGGCCGAAACGTATTCAACCTCACTATTACGGAGGATGATTAACGTACACTCAATGCTTTCATATAGCACGCCTAAGGGCGTCTGAGCGATTGCGTGGATAATCCCGCGCCCCAGCAACAAATATCCTAAAAAATAGCAGCGACGATTTTTACATTTTAACTATCTCAGTTTAAAAAAACAAAAACCAAACGACTAAAAGACAGTTGTTAATCAATGAAATTTTTACAAATTGTTTCGTTGCCCAGGTATGTGGGACTATATCACTAGATAGCAGCGACGCGGACGGTTACGCTAGTTACGTATAAACATTCTTTAACATTCCACGGTGATCGGAAAGGAGAATTTACTGTCTATGACGGAATTTTTAAATCTTATTATTTGCTCATTATGTTGATGTTAATGTGTTATGAAACAAATTGTAGATATGCAAATTGGGTCAGTAACTTTGCCATACTAAGTATGGAAAAAAAAGAAGCGGCTAAAATGCATCTGAAGAAACTTAATATTATTTGCAGAATTAAAAGCATTAAAAAATGATGTCAATAAATCATGAGCTTTTATACATTTTTCTCGTATACAGAGTATAGAGGAAGTATTGTAGCCGTGCACAAAAATCACATGAAATTTTGACAGTTTCCACCGTTTTACTTCTCAGTACTTCATCATAAACGGAGTATAGCGGACTTATTTTAATCGGGCAAAAATTCTAAATCCAGATTTATTAAAATTTCGGCGTTTTACGCGTAATCGTGTATGAAAAACAGGACTTCGCAATTCTGTCCGGATGTGTGGATGTGTGTCTGTAAACACGATAACTTGAGTACCGTTACAGCTAGGATGATGAAGTTTACAAGTATTATATCAAATTTGTAGATCCATTTCGACTTTTCGGTGATTTTCGATAATCGGAAGTTGAACTTTTTCCACTTTGAATTTTTCAAAAGTCTACAACTTGAATACTTTTTCAGATAGATAAATAAAATTTCACATACAAGTAAAAGATATAATTCTCTGCCTTCTTTCAAATTTTGAGTGAGTAATTTTCGTTGACCGGAAGTAGTCATTTACGCGATTGAGTTGTTTCCCTCGAACTCATTTTAAAATAAGATTTTGTGCTGTTAATAGCACAAAATGTTCCAAAAAATCTTGTCTGAACTCTGTCAAAATAGAGTGTTTTAATCAATTGTTATTACAATTTATTAAAACAGTTTTCTAAAACGCAAAATAACGTCTAAAATTCGTTTTCTAACATTGCTTTTTTATAATGCAAAAGTGTGACGTTGCACCATCTGAACCCCCGCCCCCCCCTCCCCCTCATCACTCACCGTCACAAAATTGCAGACCCCCCCCCCCTCCCCCCTACGAGTGTGACACCCCTTATAGGCTGATATATTTTTTATGTTAAACTTGTTTGAGAAAAATAATTTATAAAATAGTTATCGGTCAAAACGCATTGTTGAACGATATAAGTGACAAAGCAAAGAAATGCTTACACAGCTAAAAATCCGACACATTTAAAATAACTTAGGCTACCAATACCTATTAGAAAAATTAAAACCAAATTATATAAATTACTAGCCGTCCCGGCCAGGCCCTGTCCTGGGCTCTGTGGAAAACCTACACTCTAAAACCTCAACGACGCACCGATTCTCCCCAATGTCTTGTTCCAACATAATAACGCCAGAAAAAAATATATGTTCATGTGGTTATACACCAACTAGCTGCATACCCGAGCTTCGCCAAGGTGAATCTTTTTAAACGTACCAACAGAAAAAAAAAACAAATACAAATACAAAGGAAAACAAACGCAAACAAAAACAAAAACGCAAACAAAAATATAAACACAAACACAATGAAATACACAATCACAAACACAAAAACAAATAAAACACAAAAGAAAGCACAAACTCAACACAAACGCAAACTCAAATAAAATCGCAAACACAAATCAAACACAAAAGAAAACGCAAACATAAACGCAACAGGCAAACATAAAAACAAAACACAAACGGAACTACATATACAAACACAAAAGAAAACAAACGCAAACAAACGCAAACTGAAACAAAACGCAAAACACGAACACAAATAAAGAAAAAACACAAACGTAAAGAAACGCAAACTCAAACAAAAAACAAAAACGCAAACGCTGTTTTAAATGGCTTTATTGAACATACGACTGTGCATACAAATGCTCTCACGCACCACCGAACAACACATTTTTCTCCGAAAAATAAATAAATAAAGAGTATGAAAAGGAGTAAAAACTTTGTCAAAAATAAAAAAATTAAGTCACATCAATACTCCATAACTTCCAATAAGACAATGTGATGCAAGTAAATTTACGGCAAGTAGTGTTTACTTTTATGGTTCTAAGAAAACACATTGGTAATGTAATTAGAATCACCGCCGAAAAAACACGCTTTCATAGGCGTCCGCGATTAGGGCCTTTGCGAGGGCCTTTTCGGCATTCTGTAAAAGTCTAATTTCACCATCTGTTTAAATAACACCAAAAAACAAACCAAAAAATAGTGATTTTGAGAGATCATAGACTAAATCGAAAATAATATAAAGAATCTTGACATTTATCTATTTTAATTATGCACATTAACATATAATAATCAATGCGGTAGTAATAAAAAAAATAACTTAAATTATTAAGCTCGAATTGAATTTCTTTTCAAATTACCTCCCTTGGTAAAATTACAAAAGTTTAATTAATCAGTTTTTTTCGACCCTACTATTATTAAAATGTATCCTTTTTCTAAGTACCTGAGCTATAATATTATTTGACATTGGTCCTTTTAATATGTTTGAGCAACTTGCGTGTATTTAATTTTTTTACGCTATGCGAAAAAGTAAAACAGTGGCAACTATAAAGCACTTTTAAGTTACTTTGTTACTAATAATAAGACAATGCGATGCAATTTAAAAGCGCTGCATGGTTTGATGTTTACTTTTATGGTTCCAAAATCTATAGCGATGATGGACTGACACACTACCAGCAGCGTTGTATTATAGATTCGCTTCAATGACTGGTTTTACCACAACTCTTACATGTTGCTCTCGCTTGTGATGCTTGAGATTTTACCACTATTGAAGTCAGTGCTTATTGTGGGAATACCCGAACTAGCAGACAGCGTCGGTTCATGGACGTGCTTCCTGCCACCCATGATGGGTTGGGTTGTTGAAGATTCCTCTTTTGAACGTGAGCTGCTTGTCTGTTTTGTGCGACACATATCTAAAAATAGTTGAGCGACTCTTTTGTTTATAACGAGGCTATAGAACAGGACAACGCCATGTAGACCAATCAGAGCTGTGATGACGTAGTCCACATACTTGTTGTTGGATACATCGTAGAGAAACGCCAGCAGCCACATAAGTCCAGTGACAACAGACAGACGCACCATGGCAACCAGACCTAGCTTGGACTGTACCGAGGACTGGAGCTGAGTGGACGAGCCACGACGACGTAGTTTACAGGCCGTGAAGGTCATCAGAGAAATGTTGACCAGGACAATGATCGCCACAGGGACAGCAAACGACGCGATTCTTGAGATTTTGGACGTGATGAAACAGACATAGTCCCCGCCGTATCCCAGCTGTTCGCTTGTGACGTAGTTAGCCACCATGTTGACAACACACACAGCAAGTGGAGCTAGCAGTGTGTAGGCCGTGGCTAGGATAAAAGGACGTTTGGACAAGAAAAAGGCGCGGGACGTCAAAGGAAAACAAAGCATGTAAAATCTCTCAATGGTGCAGACGTTCATGGAGAAAAGAGCAGCCATCCACGTGTAATGGATGAGCACTCCAAACACGAGACATGTCGTCTGGTCTTCAGAATGTTCCAGTGTAAACTGATAAAATGTTTGGGCTAAAAATAAAGTCAGGATTAGCACCATGAGGTTTTTGCCGCTAGCAGATCTCAATGTAGGCAGCAGAAGATATGTGATGAATGTCAGCAGAAGACAGGTGAGGGATATTCCCGTACAGATAACTGAGATCAATCCTCCTGTTGTTGAAATGTCATGCAAAAGTTTCAGTGTTTGGTTATCCCGTGTATTTGTATTGTTAAAGTCAGCTGTTATAAGATCTCTGTAGTCCGACACACACAAGCGTACAATAGTTTCGTTAACCAAGTAAATTTTTCTTGACGAAATATCTTTTTTCATTGGTGTGAACTCTAAATTGTCGTCCAATTTATCCAGAAATTTGCTTCTTGGCAGTTCTAGAAAACTGCAGTTTGTGACTGCTGAGTAGTATATGAAATGTACCTTGTCTAGTACATTTTTTTCTGGGAAAAGTCCCAAAACTATGATGGGCTGAAATGGTTTGCTATCTGCTAAACACGTATGATCAATAGAAAACACACTGAGACATGCGTCTAAGAATCTATAGCTAAAATGTGAAAGGTTTCTGCCGAGCAGGCCCTCAATAAATTGTTTGTAATTGAGGATAGCCTTCTCTAAGTCTTGCTCCAAGTCTTCAAGAAAACCTTCTCTGGATATCTTAGCCTGCCAGTGGACTGATGTCCTGGTGTTGTTAGGGCACCAGTTGTCTAAAGCTAGGACGTGTTCTAGAATAGATTTAAACGTGTAGATAGGCGTCCACATGGTCAAACCTTCAGCATCGCTGACGTCCAAAGGCTGGTCCGTGCTGACGTCAAACACGAGGCATACTTGGTACCCCAGCATGTTGGAGGATACGAGACTTCGGCACTCGCCTGATGACGTCAGATATTTACCCTCAGTACACAGCTGCTCATGACACTCATCCTGTCAAAATGTTTAACTTTATTATCTGGTGGTCTGAATCTTCAACAAACACTATTGTATTACTCAAAGTCATATGAGCGAATGAATCTCTTCTATTATTTTTCTTACGCCTTCTTGTTCTTAAATAGATCATCCCATATATATATATATATATATATATATATATATATATATATATATATATATATATATATATATATATATATATATAAATAAAGGAAACCTCTATATACTGAATTGTTATAACTAACAACAAAAATATAAATATACATTATACATCTATTTACAAAAAATATCAAAGAGAGCGGTAGTTATCATCGACTCAGTCATGGATAATTTCATTGAGTCTAACAGAAAATAGTGTTTGATCGGCTGGGCTTTTATATATTAGGATTTTAAAGAAACTGATTTTTTTTATTACATAAAATGTAAGTATTTTAGAACAAAGTAGTCTTTTTTAAAGGTACAATTTTGAGAGGTGTGGTAGGCTGAGGTGTAGCGTCATTTTACGTGCTCTGTCATTGTTTTTAGTGAAGATTGGTGACGTTGGTGAGGGAGGGGAAGTAAAAATCTTTTAAAAAGCTTGGCATCGTTTATGTTATGGACAACCCCAGTGTAGGTAATAGTCCACTGCTTTATTTACACGTTGTGATGGGTTTTTTTTTTTTTTAAACACGAGCATCGTCCTCCTTATTTTACTTTTTACATGCAGGATACGAGTTTTATGTTTGTTTTGAATTGTAAGCACTTCTATGTTAAATTCAACATGTGGACATCCACAAAAGTCAATTCCCCCCCCCCCCCCTTCCAGCTCTCCTTTGGTGTTGGCATCATAAATGGGTGTGCCCTAGTTTTAAAAAAATATTTTAAAAATATATTGGCAAAGTTTTGAATACAAATTACTACAAAGTGGGGTATTCAGAAAATTGATCACGGATTTTCTTTACAGCCTTACAAAACTGAAAATTAAGGTCATGACTTAGGCTTAATGAATTAAATAGATATGTAGCTTTAACAGCAGAAATATATTTTTTAAGTTCTCTGAATCTAAAACTTATATAACATTAATTTTAAAAATATAACTTTTCTGAATTTTCTTGGGCTCTAGTTGTTTTTTTTTAATTTTTTTTTATTTTTGTTGTTTTTTTTTTTTGGTTGTTTTTTTTTTTGCCACTATGATGGCAAAAACAAAAAAAAAACTTTTTCTCTATAAACTCTGTTGCCTCTATTGATGTAAATATCAATATGGCTCGCTAAAACATGTTCTCCTTCTCTAGTAAAAAAAAAAACTAAACAGTTAAACCTCACAACACACACACACACCACATTGAAAATTCACTGTAAAAATTGACTTGCCGTAGCACTGAAGTAGATTGCGTTGTGGGGACATCTGGGCGCCTGTCTGCTGACTGTACTGGGTCGTACAGGGTAGTCATCGAACGTGAACAGAGCGGCATAAGTGAACGGTGGGACTTGGTATGACCCACCATCTTTCAGCAGATATCGGAGTTGAAAAATGCTCTTAAAAATCTCGTCCGTGTTGCACAGAAAACAAAATATGTTTCGGTATTTAGAGTCAAAGACAGATTCGTACAACGCGCATGCTCTGTCGATAACTTCGTCGTAATATTGCCAGCTTCCGGTGATGTTGCAGGAGTCGATTAAAGATGGCTGCCGCCAAGAGCAGTCACGAACAGTCACGTGGTGGGGTATGTTTATTGCCATTGTGCACTTTGCTTTATTCTGTCCTTCTTCAGTCGAGAGTAGCAGAATGGCGTCTTCTTTAGTCCCGGCTAGACTCAGCAGGTCAGAGATAGTGGGGAAGCAGGTGATGGACACCTGCCATATGGAGATGTTGTAGCTGTCGTTGTTGCACTGGGCGCAGTAAATGTTCCTATAGATGAAACAATCAATACGGAAATGTTTTAGACTATTTAGTAGCTTGAACTAACACAATGAACAGTTTAGTGTAAATAAAATGGATTATAGTATAGTAAGGTTTTTATTAGAAAAGAAGTAAGCCTACTCTTTAAAACAATGCGGAATATGAAGTAGAATTTTTTTTTATTTTTCTGAACTCGGCATAGGAAGCAATAGAGCGATCAGCACTTTCTCCAAATCAAGTCAGAACCTAGAAGAGTTAGAAGGCATCAGCGGCAACAGAACCCGAGACTTTTGGGCTAAACAAGTTGTTGGTTTATAACAACATATTATACGTAGCCTGACTACATCTCCCAGCCTAGCTCGACCTACCTGTAGACGGTTCCAGTGTCCAGAGATGAGACAGGTAACATCTCCCAGCCTAGCTCGACCTACCTGTAGACGGTGCCAGTGTCAAGAGATGAAACAGGTAACATCTCCCAGCCTAGCTCGACCTACCTGTACACGGTGCCAGTGTCGAGAGATGAGACAGGTAACATCTCCCAGCCTAGCTCGACCTACCTGTACACGGTGCCAGTGTCGAGAGATGAGACAGGTAACATCTCCCAGCCTAGCTCGACCTACCTGTACACGGTGCCAGTGTCAAGAGATGAGACAGGTAACATCTCCCAGCCTAGCTCGACCTACCTGTAGACGGTGCCAGTGTCAAGAGATGAGACAGGTAACATCTCCCAGCCTAGCTCGACCTACCTGTACACGGTGCCAGTGTCGAGAGATGAGACAGGTAACATCTCCCAGGCATCTTTAGAGACGCTTGCGTTGGCCGTGTCACATTTGCTTCGAAGTCTCTCCACCTGACTTCCTGATGTTCTTCCGTCATCGGACGGACAAAATGATAGGGCAGACACAGTCAGAGGCAGTTCACTAAAAGAAAAAAAGGCAACAGGTAAGATGGCAATGTCGTGTACTGAGTTGATTTGATGTCGTGTATCCTACTAAGATTATTTGATGTCGTGTACTGAGATGATTTGCTGTCATGTGCTGAGATTATTTGATGTCATGTGCTGAGATTATTTGATGTTGTGTATTGAGATTATTTGCTGTCATGTGCTGAGATTATTTGATGTCATGTGCTGAGATTATTTGATGTTGTGTATTGAGATTATTTGATGTCGTGTACTGAGATTATTTGATGTCGTGTACTGAGATGATTTGATGTCGTGTACTGAGATTATTTGATGTCGTGTGCTGAGATTATTTGCTGTCATGTGCTGAGATTATTTGATGTCATGTGCTGAGATTATTTGATGTTGTGTATTGAGATTATTTGATGTCGTGTACTGAGATTATTTGATGTCGTGTACTGAGATTATTTGATGTTGTGTATTGAGATTATTTGATGTCATGTGCTGAGATTATTTGATGTTGTGTATTGAGATTATTTGATGTCGTGTACTGAGATTATTTGATGTCGTGTGCTGAGATTATTTGCTGTCATGTGCTGAGATTATTTGATGTCATCTGCTGAGATTATTTGATGTTGTGTATTGAGATTATTTGATGTCGTGTGCTGAGATTATTTGATGTCGTGTGCTGAGATTATTTGCTGTCATGTGCTGAGATTATTTGATGTCATCTGCTGAGATTATTTGATGTTGTGTATTGAGATTATTTGATGACGTGTAGTGAGATGATATGATGTTGTGTATTGAGATTATTTGATGTTGTGTATTGAGATTATTTGATGTCCTGTACTGAGATTATTTGATGTTGTGTATTGAGATTATTTGATGACGTGTAGTGAGATGATATGATGTCATCTACTGAGATGATTTGATATCGTGTACTGAGATTATTTGATGTCGTGTACTGAGATTGTTTGATGTCGTGTACTGAGATTATTTGATGTCGTGTACTGAGATGATTTGATATCGTGTACTGAGATCATTTGAGCAGAAGGTACTTGCTCAGCTCCTGCATGGCAGACGGCAGGTGACGACAGGCGGTGCTGATTTCTGTGTGTGACTTACCGAACTGTCCAAATTATATGTATCTGGATATTTCGTTTTGTTTGCTTTTTTACAATGATAATGAGGATGGAGATATGTGTAGCTGGTAGACACGTGACCTAGTCTTACTTTTCTGGAACAGGTTCCAGGCTGATACACCTGTAGACATCTGGATGTTGATTGACAGTTGTCCTCGGCTGACCCAGCAGCACGTCAGGGCAACAGTCTCTGTACTTGTCACATTTGACGTCAGAATAACATTTGGGACAAGAACTTGAAAAAACCCAGGCTGACTGGCACATCTAGTTAATGGGATATATCAGTATTATATATATATATATATATATATATATATATATATATATATATATATATATATATATATATATATATATATATATATATTGATCGAGTTCATCAATGTTGTCAATCTTTCGCTTAAATAGTATAAAATCAACTTTTTAAAACTCGTAGATTTTGTAATATTTCAATAAATATATCGAAAAATTAGTTTTAAGTCAAGTAAAACAATCTTCTTCATCTGTTCTAGGAATTGTCAAAAAGGTATTGTACAAAAAATTAAGAGACTACTTCGTTATCTACTTCAGTTTATGCACCGTAGTGCAACTGAATATGTACATCCTTGTCTATTACCTATCAGTTAATTGCCTGTGATTATGTAATTTTAGCTACAAGTGTATATGCTCCATGTATATTCTACAAGATTTCATTACCTCTGACTCTATTTTTAGAATGATTTCCTCCAACGTAAGGTTCTGGTCCTTGTACTCGTCCAAAAACGAGGGAGGTTTCAAGATAAATGTGACGGAATCATCCGAACAAATGATTGGAGCAAACAACGTAGCCAGCGTGTAGAGAGGTAATTGTATTACCCAGAGTTCCATGTCAACTGGTGGAAAGATGTCATGAATAAAAAAAAATGTCTTTTAAATTTTAAAACATGTTTAATACATATCATTTCAATTTCTAACCAGTAGCTAAAAGCAAGGGAAGTAGATGAATTGTAAGTGAAACATTTGAATTTTCAGGGAAATAGATAGTCGTGGTCAAGTCGGTAAAACTCGTTTTTACTAAACCAAAAGGTCTCGTGTTCGAACAGCAACTCTTAACTTCTAGTAGAGACAACTCCAAAATCAAACAACTGCTGCCTTGTAGTTTGTTCTTGGTTGTACTAAGACTATGGAGGCAAATTCTAAAAGAAAAGCAGGCTGAAATCGGAGTCAACGGCCTATATGACGCGTTGCACATACACTTCATTGTGTTGGACTGCTCTAAAAATTAAGAAGAAAGAGAAATCGTCAATTTCTTAGTGTAATTCACATTTAATTATTATTAACCACACAATTTTTATTTCCCACAAAATTTCGCTATTCCCACAGTAGCCTCATGGTTTAAATATAGTTTAAATATAGTTCTACAGAAATTTCACTTTTCTGCATGTCTCACTTTTGTTAAAAGTTTCACTATTCTACATGTCTCACTTTTGTTAAAAGTTTCACTATTCTACATGTCTCACTTTTGTTAAAAGTTTCACTATCCTACATGTCTCACTTTTGTTAAAAGTTTCACTATCCTACATGTCTCACTTTTGTTAAAAGTTTCACACAACTCTACATGTCTCACTTTTGTTAAAAGTTTCACTATCCTACATGTCTCACTTTTGTTAAAAGTTTCACACAACTCTACATGTCTCACTTTTGTTAAAAGTTTCACACAACTCTACATGTCTCACTTTTGTTAAAAGTTTCACTATCCTACATGTCTCACTTTTGTTAAAAGTTTCACACAACTCTACATGTCTCACTTTTGTTAAAAGTTTCACACAACTCTACATGTCTCACTTTTGTTAAAAGTTTCACTATTCTACATGTCTCGCTTTGGTTAAAAGTTTCACTATTCTACGTGTCTCACTCTTGTTAAAAGTTTCACTATCCTACATGTCTCACTTTTGTTAAAAGTCTCACTATTCTCCATGCTTCACTGCTCCACACACGCCTCACTTTTCACACTATCCTTTCTATAAATAATAGCCGCATATTCAATTTTATTGTAAAGTATTATCACATTAAATCAGTTATCACGTGCATAGTAAACTTGCAAATAACTGCTCCAGACATAATAACTCTCTCGCTCTCTCTCTCTTTCTCTCACTCTCTCACATACACACACTCACACACGCACGCACGCTCGCTCACTCGCACACATACATGAATCTAAATAGACAATCAACTATTTGTAATTAATTGGTGTATCAGCTGGGCCATGCAATGGTGGGGTGACTACTAGCGAGTGCGACTATTTCACGCTGGCCAGCAACACCATCATTGCATCCTGGTCATTTCTGCCTCAATTCTCTCTCTTACTTTCTTTCCATCTTGCCTCTGCTTGTTTGCACTGATATATGTTATGCTACATGCACTGCTAAATGTCATGCTACATGCACTGATATGTCATGCTAAATGCACTGATATATGTTATGCAACATGCACTGAAATCTTATGTAGACATATATTAGTAGTACAGGGTTTAGATCTCTCAAGACAGTCGGCGTGTCAATTCAGCATCGTATAGATACTGCTCTTTGTTTCTAAATGTATCGCTATAAGCGATACAGTTAGGACCAGAGTTAGGATCAGAGTTAGAGCTAAGGCTATTTTTAGGGTTGGCCCTAGAAATAAGCAGAGATAGTTTAAGCTTTACGATACGTAAATGAATAAAGGCCTTAATTTCAATTTGTTCGATGTTTTAGTAAATACCATGGTGGCTGATATATGTCTACATAAAATATGTATGTCGTATGAATATGTTAGTGACATTTAGCATTTGTAGAGAAGTACAGGTGTCATGTGTACACTTGACAACTTGTCCTTTGTAACCCACACGTGTCTACTGACATTTGTAAAAGGTGTACTTGTCATGCTAACATTTGCACAAACGAGCATGTGTACTAGCGATAGTTTTACACATTTAATTTGTACGAGTGCTACCGTCATTTGTACAAAATAAGTTTTTCTTTTCGGGAGCGGGGCACTTGAATCTTTAGGGGGTGAGGAGGGGACACTGGTAAAAGTAAATATTTTCTAAATAATTTTTATTTCGATCGAGGGACAGAAGGTGGGGGGGGGGGGGTGAGCGTGCTTCGAATAGATGCCTGAAAGAAACTCTGTACAAAATGAAACAGCTACAGTTGACATTTTTGTACCAATTGAAATAACTACTGGCAGTGGCGGAACTAGAAAAAAAGAGCCACCTCGCAAAAATAATTTCTGGCTATAGCTCAGGCATATTTTTTTTACGCAACAGCATGTGGTAGCTACTGCATAACATCACTACTGTAGTAGATCTGTTTGTTATTTACAAAAGCTTTTACCGTCAAGACAAAAAATGTAAAAAAAATTATGTTTTTAACTATAAAAAAATTATTATGGTCGGCTATGGGCCCCTAAATGGCGTGCCCCCCCCCCTCCCCCTGCATTGCAAGGTCTGGCGGCACTGTAGCTCCGCCCCTGATTACTGGTGACATCTGCAACAGGTCCACTGTTGTTGGTCTGCCATTGACCGAACAGCTGGTCCAGTCCCTAAAACCCCACGGCTTCACACACACACATACACACACACACACATACATACATACATACATACATACATACATACATACATACATACATACATACATACATACATACATACATACATACATACATACATACATACATACACACAGAGATAAGATATCTTGGGCCGGACTAGAGTGGGGTGAAAACTTTCCGTTCATAAATACATAGTTAGTGCACTAACTGCTATGTTGTTTTTTTTTTCAGCAGTCTAAACTAACCAAACACAAGATTTGAGAATTAAATTAATACACATTTAAAATATAAATTAATAGATTAAACAATTAAACGATTAAAAAATAATCAAACCTTTTTGTACAAGATGTAAGTTGCTGATTTCGGTTATTAAAATACAAAGTTAGTGCACTAACTGCTATGTTGGTTTTTTCAGCAGTCTAAACTGACCATACACAAGATTTGAGAATTAAATTAATACACATTTAAAATATAAATTAATAGATTAAACAATTAAACGATTAAAAAATAATCAAACCTTTTTGTACAAGATGTAAGTTGCTGATTTCGGTTATTAAAATACTGTAAGCCTCGAATATTTATTGTATTTACAAAAAACAAAAAGCAAGACTCACGCGTAGGATGTGCATTCATCAACAGTAATCACACAGTAATGGTTAGGGCCGAATAAGCCCTTTATCGCGTGCTGGGGGCTATAAATAGCCACGCATAAACAAACGACGCCGTCTCGCGTGAGCCCACGATAGTTAACGAGATTCATGGAAAACAAATTGCACGTGGTTCCACATCAATGTCGCAGGGACGTTCGTTTTTTTTTTTATTTTAAAAAGACGAGCGATCTATCTCTAATGGCCTTCTGTTATCTACTGAGTCTTTCGGCCACAAAGGAATTTGAAATATTTCTGTGTTGAGCGCTTTTCACAAATTTTTTAAAAGCTTTATTTATATATACTAGTTTCACACTTTTACACCTCATATTTATAACACACGCTCTTTTTACAAATGCTATGTTCATTTATATTATGGGTTACGTTCAGTGTAGGCTTATATTTCATGTACATGTATTCTCAAAATCAGTCAGCTTTTTAATGAAATCAGAGATTATATTTTTTCTTATTGCAGTGGGAATCCAATATCTTTTATGAACTCAACTTATAATATAAAATATGTAGAAACTGTGAAAATACACTGATCGATTTAAAAAAAAAACATTTAAATGTCCGAAGTTAAACAAGCGCCATAACTCTCGAAGTGTTGCCGAGCCCTCAATACACTATCAAACAGGGGACACAACTGATTAAAATGTATACATAAATTTGTAACTGCTCCCTGGGGAAATAGGCGATGATTGGGGCAGATAGTAAATTTAAAGACTTTATTGGCAACTTAACACAGGGGGTGATAGAATATTCAACCTACACCAGCGACTAGGTTCATTTAATTTTAAACGATCGCAAGTCATTTCGTTAAACCGGTTGCAATGTATATTACAGGTTTTATTTCATGGGTTAGATAAGATTATATCACACTGTCAACTTTGCGCTGATTTTATATGTACTCTACCCCTCTTACTTGCGACAAATGAACAATTAGACAACTTGGCAACCCTACCCCTCTTCTTCACAAATAACCCATTCCAGCTAAAAAAAATTATATCCTGTATTTATATAACAAATTTAAAATATTAGCAA